GGAAAAGCCGGAACCCCCCCCCCCGTTGCACCGCCTTATCCAGGTGCTGGCCCCCTCTCACCAACTTGTCGTTCGCCGACACGGCGGCGTCAAAGACGTGCTCCATCCCCCCCTGCTGCTCCACGACTTTGCTTGCGAAGAGTCCCATGAGACCGGAGATCTGAAACAAAATCAGGCAGAGAGTTCCGGGTTTCTTGAAATGGGTACGGTTGCACGGCTGGAGGTTTTGTCGTAGTTTTCGTTGAGTAAGGACATCGAAGGGCACCGTGCTGTGGCCGCACGCAGATGAGGCGTGAGGGGCAGAGAGAGACATAGGGAGAGGGAGGGAGAGAGAGGAAGAGAGAGATGCAGAGACAGAGAGAGAGACAGGGACAGAGACAGAGAGAGAGACAGGGACAGAGACAGAGAGAGAGAGACAGAGAGAGACAGAGGGCGACCGACATACAGACAGACCATTACGCCGTTCGCAAAGCGACAGCTCCCAAACACAACGCAGCCACCGACACACAGCAGCATCGCCTCTCCTCTCTTCTTTCACCTCCGACATCTTGGTCTCCACTAGCCTGGCATCGTCCAACTCATTCTTCAGTCTCGCCACCAGATCTCGGTTCTCCCCCTCCAGGACGGCCGCGGAAACCACGCCGCCATCGGCAGAACCCCCTCCTTCCTCCTCCTGTCCAGTCCATCTTCTCCGCACGGCGCTCGCCGTCTCCGCTAGCACGCCTCCGCCGCCTGGTCGCTTGCCCCCCGCTCTTCGTCTCGCTTCCGCGGCCGCCGGACGCTGCTTCGCGGCTCCAGCGGTGGCTGTTTCGGCTACCGCTGCGGCGTCCGCCGCTAACGGCGGAGTCTGGGAGCGTTCCGGAACGCCTGCGGCGGTGGTGGCAAACCCTGCAAGGCCACCGGCGAGGTCTTCTGCGGCAGGGGTGAGTGAGGGGGGGGAGGAAGAGGAGTCCCCGTACGCCGCCGGCAGCGATTCTCGGAGTAGGCGTTCTTCCTCCAGCTCTTCCGGGGTAGCTCCCCAGACAGCAGAAGTAGCAGCTGCGGGGCCCCCATGGCGTCTCGCTTCGTCGCCAGCCCCCCCCACCGATGCGCCGCTGCTGTCCGCCGGACCCCCGTAGAAGCGCGATTGGCCCGCTGCGGCCCTCGCGTGTCTCTCAGTCTGTTCTTGCCGATCGATGAATTGGTTAGATACAGAATGTATCGGATAGATACGGCATGCATTGGATGGAGCTAGATCGGAATGTGTTGGTTGGGTAGGGGCGTTGGGCTGACTCGTAGGGCAACCGAAAGTTGGCCCGACGGATTTTTTGGACTGGCATACACCCTCCCACCCGGATTTGCCACGGATTCGACCAAGAGACAGACCTCTCACCACATCACCACAGAGTCCTCCCGCCATGATGGTCGGATCACCACCAAACCTTGAAGGCTGTACGCACCACAGCTGTAGGCATCTTTGAAGCTAGTGGTGACTGCTGTGGGGTCTGTGTGTGCTGAGAAGTGTCAATCCATGTGAGCAAAAGTAAGAATCCGTGTGAAGAATCCGTCCAGGATTCTAAACGAGAGTTTGGCCTATTTTTCGTATAGCATCTCCTACAGAGGTCAGGAAAAATGACCTACCCGGACGGATGGGAAGGGGGGCGGCGCGGTCGGTGAGCATTGGCGCTTGCCACTCGCTAGGGAATTCCGGGCGTACTGCTGGGCAAGCGTTCAAGTACAGGGCACACGTGCGGTCACTCTTTGACCAAAGCATCTACAACACATCAAGATACTCGCACGCAACAACACACGCGCGCAAGTGCCCTCTGCCGCATGCTCTGCATCCCATCCCACAAGCCTCGCGGAATAAAAGCACAGACCTGCATCGTCTCAGCGACCTCGGTTACAGCCTTGAGCCGCTCGAACAGAAACGTCACCGCGGCGTTCTCGTGGGCCGGTCTTGACCCCGGCCGCAGCTCTCCCCCTGCCCCTACCCCCCCCTCGTCCAGCAACGACGAGCCCCGTCCGTCGTCCCCCTCCGCCCGGGCCGCCGCCGCCTCCTGCTCCATTCTCCGGAGGCGCTCACGCTGGAGTAGTGCCTTTAGGGCGTCGACTCCTGCTGCGCACGCGGTCATGAAGGAGGTGACCTCGAGGTCGATGAGATCCTTCTCCTCCTCGGACATGAGCGACCGCTGCTCGCGTTATGGATGGACAGCGAGAAGCGGGGGGGGGGATATGCTGTCATGTATGGCGGCGGGGGTTCTCCGAGGGACCGGACCGGAGCCTGGTGAAAGTGTGTGTGTGTCCACCCGTTGTTTTATCCTGGACGTCAGTTGTTGTACACCGCTCGGGATGCTTTTTTTCGGGAGGCATCAGCTGGGGTCACACGGGAGGTCATAGCTTCTACACCTTCCTTGTGTGCGCTGCTAGCCTCGATGCTTATCCCGAGAAGGAAATACAACCACAATGTTTATTTCGACTACATATGCACGACGTCCAACAGCAGCAGTGCGTGAGCTTTCTGCTTTGGCCCATCTCACCGGGTTGCGACAACGACCTTGTTGGTTTGCCTGCTCTAGCGAACCCTTCAGTCTGGCCAAAACAAGCATTACGCACATGACCACACACGTGCCATGTCACAGGCTAAAAGCTTCACGAACTGTCAGTCCGAATACACGCACACACCTTACCCCCCTTCGACCTACCCGGTGTCCTTCACAGCAGTGTAAGGTGCAAGCAATCCTACACAAGGGAAATAAAAATTCCAGTTGTGGTGGTGTTTGAGTCCCATGAGCAGAAATTGCTCACCTTGGACGGGAGGCAGTGGTGCACGTCCACGTAGTCGAGAAAGTGCTGCCGGAGGAACGTGTGCATCTCGCGAATGCTGTAGTTGAGCTCTGTCGCCTGTAGGATGTGAGCAGTGGGATAAAAGGAGTAGAAAAGGAAGAGGCAACCCTGAGTAGGGCCGATTGTATGCGTAGTATATCCGACAAAAGAAGCGTGTGTGCCTGTTTCCCTTGATATAGTCTAAAAGGAAAGCAGCAGTAAGTTAGAGGATAGGATAGGGCCGATTATATAAACACTTGACAAAGAAGCGCGTGTTTGCTTTTGTTCAACAAGGGACTATGCAACACCGCTGTTGATGCCGTCCAGTCTGTGGATCGAGGATGGGTGATGGGGCCACGCCGTCCAGCCTGTGGATCGAAGACGGGTGATGGGGCCATACGTCGTCGAGACTGCTGTTGTTCGTCGGCAGAGAAGAGAGGTAGTGGACGCTCTCATCAACAAGTCTACATCCGACGCCAGTTCTACTTCTGAAGTACATATCGATGATGCACCTGCGCCACGCTACAGCATTTCACCACAAAATACGTACGATTTCGCAAGCAATTTCTGCTACACATTCATCAAACAACAGCCAGGTATGTTTCGCCTTTTGGACAGCAAACGCAAACTTGCGGTATGTGTACGCGGATAGTCTAGGCTACAGCAGTAGTCTCCAGCAGTGCAGTCTGAAGTACATATCGATGATGCATCTGCGCCACGCTACAGCATTTCACCACAAAATACGTACGATTTCGCAAGCAATTTCTGCTACACATTCATCAAACAACAGCCAGGTATGTTTCGCCTTTTGGACAGCAAACGCAAACTTGCGGTATGTGTACGCGGATAGTCTAGGCTACAGCAGTAGTCTCCAGCAGTGCAGTGCACCGCTTCCGCCGCTGCTCTAGGGTTAACGATTTCATGGGTCCCATTCGAGTGTAGCCTCTGCCACCAACCTGTTGCATGAACGGCGTTAGGGGTGTTCGCCATCGCGACCCAACCAAGGCCTCAGCGGCTGACGAGTAGCCACCCCCTCGCCCTCCGGCACCCCCCCTCGGTGCTGCTACACCGGCCTCCTCGGCTGCTGCTGCTGCTACGGTTGCTGCGGAAGACCGTTGCTGCCTGACAACTGCAAACCATTCCTTTGTTAGGTCCAACATCTCCAGCTCATCAGTCGGTAGTGGAGAAGCGCCACCACTAGATCAAGCAGCGCCACGCCGATCGTGCAGCACGTGTCTAGCACCACAGACAGCGGTGTGCTGCTGTGCTGTGCTGTGGCAATGTGGCAACAGCGCTAGGGGCTCCGTGATATGCAGGTGTAGATATGGCGGCCCCCCTTGATCTCCTGCTTCGGAGCAGGAACATCTGATCTGTCCTCCACCTCGCGCACATTTGGGCAGGGGGAGACCGAAAGAGAGAGAGAAAGAGAGGGAGAGAGAGGGAGAGAGAGCATGGCTTTGCGCGTGGTGCGCACGCGCGGGATGGAGGCTCCTTACGCCAAGGATCAAATCTCGGCGTTCGTCCTCCACCCCGTCATATCCGTGGTAAGTTTTTCGGGTTCGTTCTCGAACATCTACGAAGAACGTAGCCTGCTGCACAAAGCAAGTGTAGTTTGTAGAAAGTAGACATAACCTCACAGAAAGATTAATACCCGTTCGAGATACAACCTCAGTCGAGAGGGATGTGTTGTATGTTTTTGTTATTGCTGGCGGTGTCGTGTGCCATGTACTCGACGAATCACCCGGTAACACCGAGCGCGCGCTGCGGGTAAGCATGCATTTTGCTTGTTGCTTGGTCGGGGCGGTTTGCACCAGGTGGCCATGAAGTGCGGGTATGGCTATGTTTAAAGCTAGTAGTCGATTTCCTAGACCACGGCGGCAGCAGTTGCACCCCCATACTCTCGCCGCTGATTGGAAGGTTTACACAAGCGATTGCGGCGTAATTCCGAGTTCTAGCATACGGCAGTCATATACCGTTATCATCGGGGTCTTGGCTCACTACTCTGTGCGGTCGCTTTCTTAAATGTTTCGAACTTCAGACTTTTTTCGCACAGGTGTGCGAAGACCCCGATATGTGCCAAGTTCGCGATACCTGTGCGGACATGCAGTCAATATTTTGGTTTCAAGAAACAACGCACACCCCTGTGCCAAGACCCCGATATGTGCGGTGCTGTTTAAATCCAAAGCGGCTGGTAGGGCGACTTTCGAACGCACACTCCTGTGCCAAGACCCCGATATGTGCGGTGCTGTTTAAATCCAAAGCGGCTGGTAGGGCGACTTTCGAACGCACACTCCTGTGCCAAGACCCCGATATGTGCGGTGCTGTTTAAATCCAAAGCGGCTGGTAGGGCGACTTTCGAACGCACACTCCTGTGCCAAGACCCCGATATGTGCGGTGCTGTTTAAATCCAAAGCGGCTGGTAGGGCGACTTTCGAACGCACACTCCTGTGCCAAGACCCCGATATGTGCGATCCTAGTATTGAAAACCACAGGGGATAGCAGCACTTCGCGTGTATGGTATTGCTGCAACATGATCAGTACACAATCAACAGACAAGCTAAATAGTCGCTGCACACAAGGCGAGTCTCGGGGAATTGCCACCACAACAGTTCCGTGGCGGAGAGATACTGGCGGAAAATCGGGAAAATGCCCGGGACGGAGCTGCGGGCTCGACCACACGCAACGCGCGGCTACGATGTCGGAGGGTGCAAGCGCGGGACCTGCCGACGCCTCACAGGCCTCAAAGGCTAGTGCTGGCGGTCCTTCCTCTGCGGATCAGGGAGCTGCCGCTGCGGACCCGAAGGCAACCGCCGANATTTTGTGGTGTGCGGATTTTTTGTCGTTGGACAATTTTTTAAGACATGTTTTTTTTTGCGTGCCGGTACACGGTGCGATGTAGCTCTATCGNCCGAGGCTATCGATGAGATGCTACAGTACCCGCCAACGACCCCGTCAAAAACAGCAATGGCAAATGCGCGTCCGGAGCCCAACTTCCCGATCGAGCGGTCAGGAGCAGTGGGAGGGAAAGGGAGCTACCCCATCCGGTTCAAACTGAACGCGGCGGCCTACACACGGGAGATCTGCCCGTGCGACGGTCAACCGGTGGGAAACAACGGCGCGGCGAAAGTTCTCCAGGTGCCTCGGAAGCGTATCATCGAGTGGCTGAAGCAGGAGGAGCAGCTGAGGGAGAAGGTCAGCGCTAACCCCAAGCTCTCGAAGGCCAAGCAGGTTCACAGCGGAGGGAAAGCTTCGACAGTCGACGCCGAACAAGTCCTTGTGGACTACATCAACGAGCAGCGCAAGCAGCACCGCGGTTGTGGTAATCGGGAGGTGATGAACAAGCTGCTCGAGCTGAAGCCTGACGCCCTTGGCGGGATGCCGGCGAACGCGAAACCGGAGGAGGCGCTGGCTTTCAAGGTCAATTTCAACCCCTGGTACCAACGGTTCCGCAAGCGGAATGGGTTCAGCATCCGCCGGCGTACCAGCGTGGGCCAGAAACTGCCGAAGGGGTACGAGGGTATGGCGTGGGCAACGGTGATGAAGCTGCGCGAGGCTCTCGTAAAGCGCGCCGGTGAGATCTACGCTCGGCGCCACCCGCCGGCACCTGACGAGAGCCCCATCAAAGGGGAAGATCTGACTTCCGAGCAGCTGGCGTCTGTGAAGGCGGAGGTTTTCGAGGAACTCGGCAACATGGACCAGACGCCAGTCCAGCACGAGATGCCGGTGGAGACCACTCTGGAAAAGACCGGTGCGAAGGATGCTCGCATCAGCACAGGAGGTGAGGGCGAGCTAATATGTTTGTCAAAAATTTTGTGGTGTGCGGATTTTTTGTCGTTGGACAATTTTTTAAGACATGTTTTTTTTTGCGTGCCGGTACACGGTGCGATGTAGCTCTATCGGTAGACACGGGAGGGCTGCTAACTTTTTCTGGGGGATTGTTCGACACTTCCTTCTTCATTGCATCCAAACTATCAACCAACTTAGTTTTCGATTGCATCCATTGTATCAACCACACACCGCTGTCCTCGCAGAAATATTCAACACTCTTATCCCCCCCCCCCCCCCCCCCCCCCCCCCCCCCCCCCCCCCCCCCCCCCCCCC